CGGGTCGGGTTCACGTTAGATGTTCTTAACCCGTGCAGGTATCTAATTGCCATTCGTAAATACCACAATTAGAATACGACTGAATCAACAAGAAGAAATGAAGCAATACTATCATTATAATGTATATATTTTTCCTATAGTTTATTTTACTCATTAGAATCATCATTCTTTCATGGGCTTTTAGAACTAAAAAAGTATCGAAACATATTTCACAGAATTGTTTTATTCTAACGCACGTTGTTTCAAACATACAAGAAAAGTAGATGAGTAAACAAATAGACTATGTGACGGAAACACCGGTAGAACCTGTCGCATATGATGGAAAAAACAAAAGCAAAACCAGTGTTAATTACAAGACCTCTTAGGTTTTTAAGAACGACTCAAATACTCTTACGGGTTTAGTAACGTTTCCTAAATCCATTAATAAATTCTTTGAGTTTTGCAAACAACGCTTTTTTTTAGAGTGCACATTATTCAAGTTTTATTCATAGATTTTACTAAACAGATTATGACCTAGCAGAATTTTTTCTTTATTTCGACGTTCTGAATGTGAACGTTGCGTTTTGATCAGAATTTATCAAAAACAATCGCATATTGTTTTTTCTATAGCCGATTATCTAGTACACAATAACTTTTGGATCAGAGTACTTCAGAGAAAATTTTTCTTGTAGTCTTGCTCAAAAAATTTTCTGAAGTATCCCAATCCAAAAAAGTTATTATATAAAAGATAATCGACCATAGAAAAAACGAATCTGTAATTGATTTTGGCCGAACAAGCTTTTAAAATCCGATGATATAATATAATATTCTCTAAATATTGCACACTGTATATCCAGTTTCTCTTATGTTTTTTCAATAACTGTTATTAAACAAAATTTATCTTGATCTGTTTAACAGACGAGTGAATGTACTCAAGCATAAGTACTCATAGGCGTACTCATATAGAAAAATGCACCGAATAGTCATGTATTTTTTTACTCACTGAATACTTATATGAATACTCATGTGCGAGTATTGAATATGTGAGTACTCTCGTATGAGAATTTCATTAGTATCCAAATGAGATTTTATATAATACTTATGAGTATTTTTGAACACTTTTTCGTTTGTCATTCTTTTAAGGAAATATCGTTAGATACTCAGAATTTGGCTATGAGTCCGATCATAGGCAAGCGCATCTTTGATTGTGACAGATAGCGAAAAATTCTAAGTTTTAAAGTGAAATTTGTTTATCGTATATGGCAACATCTTTGCAGAACAAAAACGTGAATAAGTATTTTCTGAGTATTCATATGAGTACTCAAATATTCCATGAGTACAATTTTACTTAGTGCGTATTCACCGAGTACTCTGGTACAATATTTTGAGTAAGCCGTGCTTGCGTTATGAGTACATTCACTAGGAAGCTGAGTGTCAGATCTATCTAGCAATATGATATCGGTTTTTTAGAATCAAAAGTGAGTTAAGTGCGCCCAACTATTTCCGAACTTTCAGGTGGTTATCACAATTGTTCCACGTATCTTTATAGAAATAAGCATAAGCAATTAAATATAATTCTGTTAAATAGTCTTCTTCTGTTTATATAGATGAAATAAGTCAAAGACAAGAACAACAGGAAAAAATGACTGTTTTTTAGGATATGTTTTTTTTTTATTCATCCAGTATGATAGTAGAAGAGGGAACGCACTCTCTCTGCGAATTACAGCACTGTGACTTTGGAGGCACTGTCGTTCAGTATTATTCTAAGTATCGAATTGACGTGAGCAGACGCCCTTCCAAGCTTCTCACCAGTAGTTTGTAATCCATTTTAGAGCAAATTTTCTAGTGTTTGTGCTTTAAAAACAATATTTCAAACAGCGATTATTAACATTCGAACAGCGACTCTAATTGCACTTAATACTGCATTCAAAAACGGATACAAATCTCATCAAGACAACGCGATAATCAGAAGGTCGTTCTATCAGTATTGTAAGTAGTGTTTAAAGTTAAGCAGTTGATTTAAATAATCCAAAACCTTAAGTTTGACATACGCTTAACGTTGATGTTGATACAAAATTTTTTAGTAATAGGTAGTTTTTGACTTAGTAGCTGTTTCTTCAAGGATAGTACCGCTCAACCTAAGCATCAGAACTGCTAGATTGTCTTATTTTGGAAGACAATGTCTTCTCTTTCGACTTTTGCCTTCGTCTTGTCTTCCTGCCTTCTCTTGTCTTTTTTTGACATGTAGAAGAGTTGCAGAAAATAATATGACCCTTCTCTCGAGAGAGTTATAAAAATTTTAAGTTTTCCCTGTTTCATTAGGAAAAAAAAAGGAAATTTTTATGACTTTTGAAAGAAGTAATAAGAACTGAAATCCTTTTAAAGTCTTTACTAACTCACTATCATCTATCGATCGAGATATAAATCATTGCAATCGGAGGGAAGTACCTGAAGAGGTTTCCTTGTTAGTATGGACCTAAGGCTACGTATCCTAAGTTCAAATCGACAAATTAAATTAAGCAGCTACTCTGATCTAATAACTACATCAAAATATTGATAAAACAATTTCTAGAACTGCTAGTGTAGCTATAGACTTGTCACTTCTTTTACGTAGTCTTTTTATATTAGAGCTAACAAAAAGGATTGTTTATCTCACGAGCGATGCTGTTTATCCTTATGAGCTATAAAAGGTGAATTTAGTATTAAATTCTCCTCATCATCATCGATCTCTTTTCTTTGCCACAATTTCAGATTCTCCTCAGGACTGACTCTCTCTGTTGCTTTGCTTATTTATACTCTTTCTTTCGACTATAAATCTGATTTGTTTATTCGCTTTCGCAAGTAGTATTGCTCTTGTTTTTATTATTAATGTCCGCATCTTAGTTTCAAAAGCATTGAAACAATCTCTAATCCGGAATTAGTTTCGCTTTCGGTGTGTTATTGTTATCGTCATTTTCTGATTGTTTACTTAACCCTTTATCAAAACGATATTCCTGTTATTTGCTTTCTTTTTCACTCTTAATATTTGTGCTATTTTCGAAGCAAAAGATCACAGTAGGAATTAAAAATTTACATTAGGTGGACGGGCATGCCCATGGATAGCTATTCATATTGCTCATTTTCATTTCAGATGAAAATGTTTAAATTTATCTTGATGGATGGGAAAAGATCCTTGTTTTAATTTTTTATTAATTTACCTCTTTTCGCGAAAGATTCTTACATAAAATGGCTGGATTCATTGATGTATATGATGTAAATATGAAAAGAACAGGAGGCTAACTAGAGACCAACTGCCCTGCGGGAAGATTGAAAAGTCGACTGAGTGAAACGGAAAACAGACGAAATTAGAACATTTACAAACTCATAACAGTTTGACTATTTCTCAAGAAGAATTCCTATATTCTTATATCAGCTGATTCAGTCGACTAAAGCAGGACTCACTACTTAATAATTAAAACATATATGGAAAAACTAACTTCAGCTGTTTCATCTACCTCTCTCGCACTCTCGAATGATCTTTTTCCTAAATCTGTACGATTAGTGATAGCTGAGATGCATTTGAATATGAAAAAGTAATATTTAAAACTGAGAACAGACAGGATGTTTTCTAACCAACACTGTATTTTGGGAGTCTTTGATTAAATCAAATATTTTTTTCTTAGACGGAGAATTATTGTCGAGGCGAGAATTCCATGAAGATAAAAAAAAGGTTTTGTCCATGGCCATAGAAGGCAATGGATACAAAAATAACATTCCAGATCGGGCCGTACGCCCGTCGTACGCGTACGTCATATGTATTTACTGTACAAAATACATATCATGCGTACAATGCGCACTATGTATCATTTTTAGAGGTTTATCATAGATGTCAGATCAATATGTTACTATGGAACTGTAGAGAGAGAAAATCAGATCATGCTCGGTACGCTCACTGCGCATGCAGTTATGCGTACCAACCGTGATGGACGTCAAACTTACGTAACGTACAGAGTGTGACGTACGCGTACAACTGCCGTACAGGTCGACCTAGGACGCGCTTAACATGATCATAAACATCAGTATATCAACAAAACTAGCTTTATCTGATTGGAGTATGTATTCTTCCTATGATATTTGCCTCACAACGTTCTGCAATGTTGCCTGTATCGTCACTCGATCCGCTCAAATCATTAATTACAGTTGCCTGTAATCGCTCATAACAGTGTGGAATATTCCATAATCAATATCTAGCCATATTTTGATTTGTTCCATTTTATATCGCCATTATTTCTTATAGTACCATGCACTCTTTCATTTGGGGCAAAAATGTCATGAGTCGGATGTGAAAATAAAAACTAGAAATGTAGAGATGAGAATAGAGAATAGAGAAAAAACGTACTATAAAAAGAAAAGGGAATCGTTTTTTCTTCATCATCTTGTAAGGATGAATGAATCTCATGTTGGATACGTTGTTACTCTGTGATAGATATTTGAATAGAATAATAAGAAATGATGAATAGAAAAAATAAAAAATAAAATCTATAGATAAGGCTATGAAAGGAAAGGCTGTAAAACAGATACAAAAAAAATTTCTTGTTTCACATAGTAATGGAGAGTAACAAGTGAACGGTTAATTGACTAGATAGAAATAGTATCGAAGCACGTGGCTTGTCAAAAACATGCATAACATATTTAAAAAGTATAATATTTCACATGATTATTTGTCTATTGTTAATTTTATTATAAATACATCATCGTTTAATATGCAATAGAGAAAAGCACTGTATTGCACGTAGCGTGATATTCTTTTAATATTGCATACATCATAGCAAGGTATATGTTACGTACAAATACTCGCACATACAGGTAAGAAATAATATTCCCATTAATGCTTCATCTGGAAAAAAATCCCGTTAGTGATGTCGTATGTGATATGATAATGACAATAAGAAGCTTTATTTTTCTTATACTTTTCAATGTATTATAAATGTAAAAGTAGTAGCGAGATCTGTATAAGCGTCCATTTTAGTCATCTGTTTATGTTCTAGTTAATGCACAGCAAAAGATTTTTAGTAAAAATGTTTCACTTTGCTCAGTACAGTTCAGAATTAAAGCTTTCTTCCTCTATGTGCAAGAAAAAAAATCACATGAAAAGAACAGTTTCTCAGGTGCAAGAGAACTACTTCAGTTTGCTATGCATATACTTGCACATACTAATTAGAGCGAGTATAAACACAAATACAAACACACATGATAGAAGAAAAGAAACAGTTTTTGATTAAATTGTGCGCGCTGGGAGAACGTGAGTTATTCTCAAAGAAAATAATACACGTTGTATGTTCTAACATAATAAGCCTTTGAAGTTCATCATAATTATTTTCTATCTGTGGAATGATAAATGAATGTGATCTGAATGCACTTGTCAAATAGATGAATGCGAGTATCAAAGGCCCATGTACACGCCTTAATTAAAATCAGCGGTATTTGAAACGTAATCTTCGTTTATTTTTGGAAAGAATTATTGTACAAGATGTAGAGCGATGATCAAGAAATCGACGTGGATACTTGAGAAAGTCAGAAATATTTGAAATGCCTTTGCGTTCTGTATTATTTAGTTATTTTGATTAAATTAACACTTTTAAATTAAAGTTATTAAATTAATTTAAAGTTATTTTGATTTAACACTTTTTCAATTGCATCTGTTACAACTAATTATACCTAGGTTTCAGCTTAATTAAGTGTAGATGATAAGTCGTACAGCCAGAAGCGTATAATTTTCCCATTTACTCCGACATGCGTCGGAGTAAAATTCTTTGATTCGAGAAACTTTTTATAAGAAGTTTAGCAAAATAGAATTTTTGCGGAGAAATAACTGCAGTAGAAAATATTTTGACAGTAGTCCGAAATGTTTTAGAAAGTTTCGCGCCGGGAAAAGCTTTTTATTCTTAGGGGTAGATTCTGCACCTCTAGATTTAACTCGTTAAAATCTCGGTTGTGGATACGGTGGCCGACATTTTTTATATAATATGCCTATGAAATTCTCTATATCATATTTGTCTACGTTATCTGCTATGGGTCGACGATTCGTCCTTGACTTCATTTCTGTTACCTTTTACGACCACATAAAAAAATGATTTCAACAGAATTTTGCCATTTTGTTAAACTTTCAACTCTTCAAAAGATTTACAAAGTTTATTTCTCCAATTAAACTATTAAATTCTGTTTATTATTCGTTTTCTTTCATGATACCATCCTTTTATAGTCTTATTAGATCACTCTTTTCTTCCGTATGCTCCATTTTATATTTTATTTACTCATATTAAGTGTTTCGTTGCTTGAAAACGAATCGGATTAGTTTAACCTCTTTGGGCTACATGCACAAGTCCAGGGAGATGAGAATTGCTCTTCTTTAGCTTAAAAACTATTCACTTATATCTTTCTCTTATCAAGAGATATGAAAAACTATCTAAACGGCACGTTCATACTATTAGAATTAGTTTTTATTAATATAATAATAACATTATATTCTACTTAACATACAGAGATATCTCCTCCAATTTCATTAACTGATCCTCGAGACAAACTAGTTTATATTTTATATTTCCGATTCGATTATGAAAACCATATCTCTATGGGTTAAATTGTGGAGTGTATGTATGAGATGGTTTGAATATTTTATAGACGTATGCAATGAATGATTAACTTGGCCTTAAAAATTGAGATTTTTTTGTGTGAAGTGAGTGGAAAATAACAACTAATTCTTTTCTACTTATTCAGTCTAACCTATTTCATCATGACGCGAACAGAGGATAGATAATAGGCAAAAAGTCATTTATGTATATTTCAGAGATGATGAAGTTAAGAATAAAAATGCAAATCGAAAAGAGATAGTAATTACATACTAGACAGCAATCGACAGATATTTTCAAGGAAAAAGTAATAAATGAGCTTTTTCTTTCTAGTCCGCCATAAAAAGTGTATTCATTTTTGTTCCTAGTGCTGATTGAACCAAAAATGGGTGCTCAGCACCCGAAGGTGCGATGAAATAAAAACGTTTAAAACAATGAGCTAGGTAAAAAGAGATATTTGAGCTCGGTGTGTTTAATTGACTTAAAAATGAGAGAAATGAGCTCAGTTGTAGTAAAATTATATTTTATACATATAAATAGAAGTGTTAAGCTCGAAAATTAATCTGTACTTTGAAAGGATACAAATGAGCTCGATTAATTTTATTTTTGTCGGTTAAAAGAGAAAAATGGGTTCGGTAATTAATTTATGAAAACTAATTACCGATTTTACCAGTAGCAAAGTACATTTAACAGAAAAAATAGCTCAAGAACACAAAAAGTGCTAGATTCCATAGTCTTTCACGAATGTTGAGTCTTTTGTTAAAGCTAATTTAACCTTCTTTGGACGATCTTTTCTCCTTCTTATCCCAAGTGGCTGTGAAACTGAATGAACATTTTCTACAACACACTTTTCCATTTTCTGTTGTCAAGCTTTTGCTTTAATTTTGAATAAATCGATGGGCTTTTTTTTTGCCAAAATAATTATATAAGTCTGCATGCATGTCCCATGAGTACATTCTACAATTAAATCTGTTCTTTCATAATGTTTCTTCGAACTTGGTGCGAATCTAATCTTTTACTAAAGAAACAAAGTTTCTACTTATTGTATCGAGCATCTTCAAACCGGTAAAGCTATTGCATATTGTTGTACGGAATTTAGAAAATATCCTCTTTGCCATTTTCAATTGTAATCAAAAGAATCCAATAATAAATTTACAGTACTTAAATCTAAATCTCATAATCATGATCAATGAAATGATACAACTCGTCTCAAATCCATTAAAGTTTCACAATCACTTGGGATAAGAAGGAGAAAAGATCGTCCAAAGAAGGTTAAATTAGCTTTAACAAAAGACTCAACATTCGTGAAAGACTATGGAATCTAGCACTTTTTGTGTTCTTGAGCTATTTTTTCTTATTAAATGTACTTTGCTACTGGTAAAATCGGTAATTAATTTATAAAAATTAATTATCAAACTCATTTTTCTCTTTTAACTGACAAAAATGAAATTAACCGAGCTCATTTGTATCTTTTCAAAGTACAGATTAATTTTCGAGTTTAACACTCTTATTTATATATATGAAATATAATTTTACTATAACTGAGCTCATTTCTCTCATTTTTAAGTCAATTAAATACACCGAGCTCAAATATCTCTTTTTATCGAGCTCATTTAATTTTGCATCCTATTTTCAATGGTTCGTCAGTTTGTGTCGAACTTAATAGATTAATTATTGCGGTTAATAGAAAATCTATAGTATTTTAGTTTTTTCTCCCTCTTCTAATCTTCTATCCTTGTTCTTTTGAATAGTTAAGAATTTAATAAAATGGCAAAAATTCTGTTGAAATTATTTTTTACGTGTTCATCAGAGGGTAACAAATGAAGTCAAAGACAAATCATAGCGGTTACTAAAAAATCTGTTGTTCATGTGAGATGACCGAGATTGACTAGGCGTATTATTCTCCTTTGTCTTAATCATGATTTTCTGTTAGGAAGGAGATATAATCAGTGAACAGATTATAAATTTTCTAAATACTTTTACTTCTTACATTTAGAATAGTTGTTTCTCTTGTTGGAAATCTGCTGATGCCATATGCATGAATTAACCGATGACGAAGAAGAAAAAAAAAATACATTTAACTAAAAATATTATCGTGTAATGTACCGTTTTCTTCAAATAAGAGTATCCCGTTTTAGATTTTTATTGATCCGTTGTTTATGTTTATCAGTCATTATTCTACTTACCATTCAATTATTCACATTTTATCAATACAAATATAAAAATGAAGCATATCGTATTAAAAAAAAACATTTCAAACAATTACCAAGAGCTGAACAAATATTTTGGACAACATTAACTAAGAATGATTATAAAGAGTTTGATAAAAATGAACGTTTAAAACTAATTTTAAAACATAAACAAAATATTAAAAATCATCTATTAAATTGGTCAAAAATATTATACGATTCATTTAGACATAAATTAGTAACATTAAAAGAACGTGATAGAACAATTAATATACCAAAACAATACAAATATGAAGAAAAAAAAAATTATAAACCAATTAATAATAAAAGACAAATAACAATATTAGAAGCAACAACTGTTTTTGATCAACCAAAATTTTGTATAAATGTAAATAAGAGAATACTAAACAAACGACTAATTAGTTTTCAATTTTACCAGTATCAATTAGTTCTCTATATTTTTTCAAATGAGAAATTTTTTAGAATCAAGATCATAATAAGTTCTATAAAATATTTTAATTTTAATTTTTGTTTTTTTTAGGAGGAACAAGTAATATTTCATCCTGCTTGTCCATTTAACAATTGTATATGGAAATGTAGTAGAGAGAGTACAACGATTACACAATCGGATGCATCAATTTTTCATTATTCAGACATAAATCCAGAACGAATACAAACATTTCTTGAAAAACGATCAATCAATGAAATTTATATATTATGGATAGATGAAGCACATAAAGATGTTCATCATTTAGATGAATATAAATTTAATTGGACATTAAGTTTTCGTCAAGATTCAGAAGTATCAATTGCAACATACGGTCTGATAATAAAATTAGAAAAGAATAAAAATCGTCAATATTTAAATGATAAAACAATGATTCCATATCTCTCAGATAAACAATCTAAATTTTTTTTAAATAGATTACATAATTATAGTTCAATACCAATAGATAAAGAATTAGAATTTCGAATTTTAATTAATTATCGTTTTCGTGAAAAACAAGCACTATGGTTTGTATCAAATTGTGATCCAAAGAAACGTTTAGAATATTATGATCATTTAAAGAAATATTTTACAATCGATGCCAGAGGTTTGTATAAACTATATTGTATAAAATAATATAATTTAATCAATTGTTATCAATTTTTTCAGGTTTATGTATCGCAGAATCTGGAACAAATGAAAAAGAAGATTCTCTGACTAAACAATGTGGAAAATCTGAACAATGTGAGAAAGATCAAATGCATTTATCAATGTTTTATCTTGCATTTGAATCACAATCGTGTACCGATTATATTACCGAAAAATTTTGGCGTGCACTTCATCATGGTATGATACCAATTGTTATGGGTCCAACAAAGCAACAATATTTAGATTTAAATATTCCATCAACAGCATTTATACACGTTGATGATTATTCATCACCAGAACAATTGGCAAATCGTTTACACGCAATATCACAAAATTATTTTGAATATCGAAAATATTTTTTATGGCAGGTACAATATGCTATTTTTTATGAAACAGAAGATTTGGAACCATTACGAATGTGTGAATTATGTATAAAATTAAATTTAAATACAAAACATCGTTATTATGAAAATTTAAACGATTGGCATAATCAAGAATGTTAATTTCCATTTGTTTATTGCTTTTTTGTTATTGTCGTACTTTTTTTTTATTCTATTTTTTAAAAAATTGTTGATTGAAACGGTAATATCTTCGTTCATCAAGTTATCTAGCAAGAAAAAACAACAGAAATTGTATTTTTTCAATTTCAATAATGTTAGGTTATACTAAACATATATTTTTCTCACCATCATATGAAAAATGTTGCGGTTATATTGTTAACTATTATTATTATTATTCAGTTACGTAGATAAGTATAAATGTCAATGATGGCATTATCAAGATATAAGATGAATTAACATCCGTACACATATTTGTGTACACACGCTCAAAATCCCAAATACAGGCCGATCAAATTTATTTTGAAACGATTTGCATGCAGTTTTTCTTTACAAATCCTTTACAAATCATTTCAGAAAAAAACTTCCTTTCTATACCAGACAATAGACAATTTAATTTTCTACAAGATTATATATTCATTTTTAAGACTCATCTTTGATGTTTGGCACAATAAGTCTAACAGGAAAAGCTCCAAATTTCTCAAGTTTACCTTCAAGAAATCGATTTTTTGCGCAGAACCTCGCTAAAAATCATTTGTTCAACAAAACAAGGTACACCGAAAAATTCAGCAAGAAATTTTCTACAATATGATGTCTTTTTAATGACAAACAATGAGTTTTTAGATGAACTCAGAGTGAAAGACAGTCTTTAAGAAAGGTCATTTTCTCCTATTTTTCGGACATCTTACGAGCGTTAGCGACAACCAGTATTCCCTAGTTTTTCAGGTAAAAAAAGTAGCAGATTTATTTGTAAGTTACACAGTCTAATAGAGCGCAAAAATTCTGCATTTTTTGGTCTATAAACTAATGATTTGAACTTTGGATTTTATACTAAAATGGTCAAAACTTCCTTTTAGTGCTAGTAACAATAGTGTTACTAATAATCAATCGTATGACGATTGATCAACTGAATCTATCACTCGTTTTAACCGAAAAGTATGTTTGGATCAATTTAGAATTATGATTTGTACAGTTAAAGGATGGCAAAATGTGAAACAAAAATTCGAAATGAATTGTAAGAAAATCTATCGATATAAAATGAATAGGAAAAAAACTAATGAGAAAATCTTTGATATTTATGTGAAATAAATTCAGACGCAGAAGAGATAAATGATACTGAAACAGATGAGATTACTGTGGTAAGGAGCAGAAACTAATACTACATAAGCGTGATGAAACAATAACAGCTTTAAATTCCAGTGTATCAAGATGTGCCGAAATAGAAACAAAACAACAAAAAATCTATTCAGGTTTTAACTAACAATGATCACCATATAATAAAACATAATTTACAACTATTCGCAGAAAACAAATATAATTAATTTTGAATTATTGAAGAGAGAACAGAATTGACACTTTTCTTTTCTACTAAAATATAGACAAATTTTCTGTATCATTTTATTATCTGTAATATGATCATATTTTCGTTTTATCTCGTTATTGTTGGTTAAGTACGAATTCGAAACTTTCTTTTTCATAACTAAGTTCTATCATGAATATTCTTCACCATAGTGACTAATGCGCGATCAAATTCTTTTTTTTTGTCCAAGATCAAGCTCATTAAAAGATAACAGACAATTTGAAGTTGTTGATGTTATTTATACAAAAATATTACCATAAAAATAATACAAAATTAGAAATTGAAAAACGGGCGGTAATGCTTTATGTTTAAAAGCAAAATTATTTATTTTTGATATGTGCTCATCTGTATTCACTATGTTTGATGCCTTTATGTTTGACATGTCTCGCAATAGTCTACTTCTAAGCTATATGAATCAGACATTGATAAAAAGATTGTTCTACTTGTTCTTTCCGAGTTAATGACTACCATTATTACACTAAATGGATTCTCATACAACAAATGTACATCATTCTCATATGATTAACAAATTTGTAGAAATCTCGATGACGTATATGATAATTCTCTTACTATATGTACCAAAATTTGATTTAGAATCTATTCAATGTTTTTGATATTGATCTAAAATAGAATTTAAAATTTTAAGAATTTATTTTATTAAATTTATCTATTAGTATTATGAATAGTACTATTCGTGTACAATGTATAGTAACATTACCACATCAGAGAAAAATCGTCAACACATTCAATTAACAAATAGATAAGACGAAATTTTAATCATAATACATTATGAATTTAAATTTAGATTGAAGTAATGAAATATTATTAAAAATAAATAATAATTTATTTTATCAAAATTATTTAATAAAAGAGTGACTGTTTACAATACATTTGACGACACATTTCTCAAATATAATCGTAAACAGATAAAATAAATAAAAAAGAGAACATTTTTAAACATCAACTTGTTGTTACGAAATTATTATTCCAACTATGGTGTAAAATGTTCACTTGTTTCAAATAAACACAGAACCATCATTAATCATAATATTATACAAATGACAATGATTTAGAGTTATGATCACGTATCAAAGAGTGTAAAATATGTTTTTTTACATTTTCTTTTGCTGTTGATATTCTCGTATCATTCGTTTTATTCATGAATTTTATTTTTAAAAGTAAAAGAAAGTCGATTTTAGCGTGCTGTTTCGGAGACACTGTAAACATTGTTAAAAAAATGTATTCACTTAGGAGTTTTGAGTTTATTCATTTTAGGGTGCTAACCTTCGACTTTTAGGATGAGACTTTTCATAGTCGTACTCATTTTCCATCTATTCCATCTATAGCTTGTATCAAGCATTGCTGTTATTCAGTATACTTGTTGAGCCATGAGTTATATTTGGTGACACTGTGTTTCGATTTCGTAAGCGGAAAATAAACTGTGACTATTGTTGATACCTGTTCTCTCTGTTTGTCGTGCACTTTAATAAATGGTGTTTCAAATATGAGGCTCTTGTGGAAAAATATCACCACTAACGCAATAATAATACATGCTGGTAGTCCAAAACATATGCATGATGTTCCCTTTATCTTCATCTACAAAACATTTGAGTGATTAATCGTGTAACGCCACAGTAAAGATATGAGATCGACTATTTTCTGCAACACGATGCAAAACTAGAGTATAGGACATATTCTCAACAACTGGGTACTGCTGAAAAAAATGCAGAGATGGGCGAGTACGAGTATACTCAAGTGCATAATTCCTAGTGCTCGTATTCATACTTGTACTCGGGAACTTTTTAACGAGTATTCCAAAAACTACTCGAGCACCTCCTAAAAAACGCGTGGTCTTTTTTTTCCTATTTGCGTATCAAACAGTCGATTCTTTCGGAATCACTAGCTTCTTTTAAAGAACTTTACATGATGTTAAGTCACATCAGAATCCTACTCCAGTTGATACCAACTGTCCCAGAGACGTATATTTTCCAAGATGGCATTCATTTGTAAATAGGACAGTTTAGTTGTCTAGAACAACAGATGCACGAACAACGAGTCTACTCTCGACCAAGAAGACGACTGATTTGAGTGTGCAGTGTAGATGTGCACAGAGTAGTTGCCAGTCGACACTCAACGTCCATTAACGCAGCGTGCTCATAGTATTATGCACTGCATTAATAGATGTTCACGATGTATATGAGCATCAAAAATGGAATAAACGCTAGCATTAGAGATGTTGAGAGTACTAGCTTCTGTCCGTGGCTTTCTTTACCAACTTGCTCTCGATTTAACCATCAGACTTCCGTCTCGATGACATGAGTTCGGAGATGGACGAGTACACGGAGTTCAGAGTAGAAGTACGAGTAATCTTTTTGAAAAGTACTCCAGTACACAAGAATGAAAGTAATAAAACTATAGATAGACACAGACAAACATTTTCATTTTACTCGACAGAACAAATTTCTAAAGAGATTCGCGGCGCGGTATACGATACGAAAGAGGACTTTGTATGGCAAAAGATACATAGTCAATACTTTCTTTCATCTATACCCAAAACGCTAATAAGAAATCGAGAAAGAGTGTACTGTTGAAGTTGAGTGGTATAAATAACATATGGCCGAAATAAGATGATGAGAGGTGGGGTATTAAGCTGATTAAAACACTTCGATTAAAACCGAAGAGTCCATTCCATAAAACGGTGCTCACGAAGTTTTGGTTAACGCCTAATGAGATCTATGTAGAAAGTAATTACAGGTTGTGCTGTTACTAGGAGCGCCTACTATTACCACTTCTCGCGTAAATCTGATTAGGGGTTAACCAAAACTTCGTGAGCATCGTTTTATTAAATGGTCAATTCGATTTTAATATTCTCGAGCCTTAATATCACCCTTCCCGTCAACTCGTGCCGGCCATATGAGATTGAACCCAAAGTGCTTGAGAATGCTTTGAACAAGCTTTCTTTCATTCCTTCGTATGAATTGTAAAAGTGGAGTGATAAGCTAGGCTACTTGTTTGGTGAGACAGCAGCTTAAAAACGCTATAGTTCATGAATTTATACCTATTAACGACGAAAGGATAAATCCCAAGAAGTGTAATGGTAGAAATGTCTCCTCTCAAGTGATTTTTATTTTACCTGTGAGGATATCGCCAATTTTTAAAATTTCAAATGATTAGCTTACTATTATAGGGTAAGATAGAGATTTATAAGGCGCATCAAGCTATATGTTTGTTAGGACTTGGAGCTGTATGGTTCTTGTAAAAACTAAAAGGTTTGGGCACTGGTTATCTACGTGATACCCATGTGATAAAAAACATTTTTCTATAACCTTCTACTTTTTTGAAAAACACATTTTACCGTTGAATAAGCGAGATGATCGTTGATTCCATTCAGTTTTGTCTGCATATTTTGTATTGGAAGTGGCAAAAATACAAAATAAGCGGACTACCTCGGGGCCGAATATTCATATTTTCTCAATGTTAACGCTACACACTTGCAAACCACTCAACCAATCTTGCATCAGGATGTAGCTATACGTTTTGTCGAATGAATAAAGTCAACTGTGACTTTCTATAACTTTAAATACAG